ATATGGCGACCATTGTCTTGTTGGCCGACCCGACCGGTTGGAAACCCGTGACATTGCGCTCGTCGACGATGGCCGAGCCGGACCAGATCATCTCGTGGCCGTCCAGTTGCGGGTATAGGGCTATCGGAAGATTTTCCCAGTGAAACAGGTCAGTGGACACGGCGTGACCCCAGTGCTGAGGACCTACACAATTAATTTTACCATAATTATTATATAAAGTTTATATATATTATATATTATAAGTTTATATATTATATAATTATTATATAAATACCTTTATTTACTATATATTTATTTATGGTTAATTATTTTTACCATTATGGGGTGCGTCGGGAAAGTATTGAAAAAACAGATGGTATTTGTCCTTATAGTGTAAAAGTCCGTTCGGGTCGTTGTTCCAGCCCTTGGGTGGTGTGTACCGGAGTTGGGGCCGGTAGTCCTCGTGGTACAGTTCGCCACTTACTAGGTAAATGCTAAATAATAGCGTCACTATGATTACGTGCATGGTTAATTAATAAAATGTTTTTTTCTACACTTATCAAACTACACTGTACTGTTACTGTTATTTAATTTGAAATAAATTTCTGAGGTTTTTATATTGGAAAATAGGCTGAGATTTAACCAAAGGTGGAGTGGAAATATTTTGTAAAGTATCTTGGGTACTTGGAGATTAGATTGGTTACTTAAAAATGAATTTGGTACATTTATAACTACACTGTGTAATTTAATTAATCTATAATTAGTACAATATATACAGTACATAGTTCATAATAACAGAACTGTGCTAATAAATTCTTGTATTTACACCTGCTCAGTTAACAAGATTTATTTTTTGCGATAATAATAATCATTAGTCGACGTTCACATATTACGTTTGCAGTTGAGGGGAGGGTGTGTAGAAACCTTAAGAACGTTTGCATTTAACTATTTTAAGACATTTAAGGGATTAATTTGTTCTTAAAGTCAATCTTTTGATAACAAATGTTTGATAAAAATGTGATATTTACATATCATTTGTCTGGGTTCAATTTTGCGCACGTAATATTTCTAAAATGAAGGGGTCAAAGGGGGAGGGGTATAGATTATTTTTAAAAATGGTTCATAGTTATCAAGGGCAGTTGCAATTATTAGTAATTATAGTTAATCGAGTTATAAAATGTGTAATAATTTTATAAAAATATTTTTACTGTACAAACAGTATGCAGATATTAATCCACTTAATTCATTATCTCATAACATGTTAGCAACAGTTAATGTTCAGATACCGGTAAATACTTTGTATTATAGCAACTTTTATTTCATACATACATTTACCTGCAATTTATATTTTATTATACAAATAAGCTTACTAATTAAACTACATTATAAATTTCATGTTCAATGCAATTATCACTAATTATTTATTAATTCACTAATATTTAATTGTAATTACAAATCTGCACATGATCAATCTAACAGTATTATTATACCGGTTGAAAACCCACATATTTAACACACTTACAATAAATGCCAAATAAGGTTAAAATATATAAGCGCTATAAATGGTATAAGTGGTAATCAAATAAACACTTGTATTAACACAGCTTATCATTAAAACAGGTATTTCTGTTTAAATATCACATTAGATGTATATTTATTATTATAAACATATTAAAACGTGGTGTAAATCTATGTCACAAAGACTATGTGTTGTATTTATATTAAATTAATTTTTATAAATATAAATATTTGTATTAATATTGATAATATTAATTTAATATAATGATAAAGTGTCGGTGTCTAGGTGAAATTATTTAAAATAAAATTTATCAACATAAACATGTTTTTATTTTGAAATTTTGCGTTTATTTTGTTTGTAAAAAGTGTACTCAAAATAATAATGTATGTAACTTATAATTAAAATTGTAATTAAATTACATTTAAACTATAATGATAAACACGTGGTAATTAATTAATTTGATAGTAGTATGTAATGTATGTGCTGAATACTCATGAGTAGCTCAAGAAAAAAGTGGTTAACAGGTATTTAAATATCTCTCTCTCACTCACTCACTCACTCACTCATTAACTAACCCATCAATAGTGGCGGCAATTGGCCATAAATCGACGCACTCCCAGGTCCCGGCGTGCGAACCGGCTTTATGTCCCCACTCCTGGATCAGCTCCCAGTGCTTCATATCCTGACTGCTATACAGGTTCACGTGATCGCCGGCGGCCAACACTATCACATAGTGGTCTCCGAAGGCAAAAATCTTCGGGTCCCTAAAGTCCCGCAGACCGGGATTGGGAATAATGGGATTCCCCGCGTAGTACTTCCAGTTCAGTCCCTCGTCTAGACTGTAGGCAAACCACTGACTCTGAGTACCATCTGTGTCGTGCATACCGGTGAATATGGCGACCATTGTCTTGTTGGCCGACCCGACCGGTTGGAAACCCGTGACATTGCGCTCGTCGACGATGGCCGAGCCGGACCAGATCATCTCGTGGCCGTCCAGTTGCGGGTATAGGGCTATCGGAAGATTTTCCCAGTGAAACAGGTCAGTGGACACGGCGTGACCCCAGTGCTGAGGACCTACACAATTAATTTTAACATAATTACTATATATTTGTTATAAATTCATTCATGTTTAATTATTTTTACCATTATGGGGTGCGTCGGGAAAGTATTGAAAAAACAGATGGTATTTGTCCTTATAGTGTAAGAGTCCGTTCGGGTCGTTGTTCCAGCCCTTGGGTGGTGTGTACCGGAGTTGGGGCCGGTAGTCCTCGTGGTACAGTTCGCCACTTACTAGGTAAATGCTAAATAATAGCGTCAATATGATTACGTGCATGGTTAATTAATAAAATGTTTTTTTCTACACTTATCAAACTTCACTGTACTGTTACTGTTATTTAATTTGAAATAGATTTCTGAGGTTTTTATACTGGAAAATAGGCTGAAATTCAACCAAAGGTGGAGTGGAAATATTTTGTAAAGTATCTTGGGTACTTGGAGATTAGATTGGTTACTTAAAAATGGATTTGGTACATTTATAACTACACTGTGTAATTTAATTAATCTATAATTAGTACATTATATACAGTACATAGTTCATATTAACAGAACTGTGCTTATAAATTCTTGTATTTACACCTGCTCAGTTAACAAGATTTATTTTTGTGTTGCGATAATAATAATCATTAGACGACGTTCACATATTACGTTTGCACTTGAAGTGAGGGTGTGAAGAAACTTTAATTAATTTAAGGGATTAATTTGTTTTTACAGTTAATCTATTGATAACAACGGTTTGATAAAATTGTTAAGTTTATATATTACTTTTTAATAGAAATAGTTTTATTTCCAGTTTTTAAATAAATACAATGGTATTTTATTTCTTAGCGACAATTTTGCGCACCTAATATTTTTAAAATAACTACATGCAAACAATTGCGAACAAATGGGGAGGGGGTATAGATTTCTAAAAAAAGTATAAACTTAATATGTAAACGTCCCCTTATTATTTATTATAAAATCATCAATAATTTGTTCAATATAAAAAAGCGTTCATGGTCATATTCTGTATTATCGTGGTTTTATCTATTAAATTTTAATATATTTAATTAAGCGCATAAACTACTAACCGTAATACAATTAGCAATAATTAAATTCATTGTTACCAAGGGCAATTGCAATTTTTATTAATTATACAGTAGTTTAATCGAGTTATAAAATGTGTAATTATTTCACGAAAATATTTTTACTTTACAAACAGTATGCAGGTATTAATCCACTTAATTAATTATCTCATAGCAACAGTTAATGTTCAAATACCGGTAAATACTTTGTATTATAGCAACTTTTATTTCATAAAGGTAGTACAGACATTTACCTGCAATTTATGTTTTATTATACAAATAAGCTTACTAATCAAACTTCATTATAAATTTCATGTACAATGCAATTAGCAATAATTAATTCACTAATATTTAAATGTAATTGCAAATATGCACATGATCAATCTAACAGTATTATCATACCGGTTGAAAACCCACATATTTAACACACATACAATAAATGCCAAATAAGGCTAAAATATATAAGCGCTATAAATGGTATAAGTGGTAATCAAATAAACACTTGTATTAACACAGCTTATCATTAAAACAGGTATTTCTGTTTAAATATCACATTAGAGGTATATTTATTATTATAAACATATTAAAACGTGGTGTAAATCTATGTCACAAAGACTATGTATTGTATTTATATTAAATTAATTTTTATAAATATAAATATTTTTGTTAATATTGATATAATTAATTTAATATAATGATAAAGTGTCGGTGTCTAGGTGAAATTATTTAAAATAAAATTTATCAACATAAACATGTTTTTATTTTGAAATTTTGCGTTTATTTCTTGTGTGAAAAGTGTACTCAAAATAATGTATTTAATATGTGATTAAAATTTTAATTAAATTACATTTAAACTATAATGATAAACACGTGGTAATGAATTTATTTGATATTAATATTTAATGTATGTGATGAATACTCATGAGTAGCTCAAGAAAAAAGTGGTTAACAGGTATTTAAATCTCTCTCTCTCTCTCTCTCTCTCTCTCTCTCTCTCT